GCGTCGTAGAGGAAGACAAAGTAGTTGTCACTGTTGTGGACGTGGTCGCTTCTTCAGTGGTGGTCGATGTGGTAGTTGTTGTAGTACTAGAAGAGGGCGATTCATTAAGCGAATCTTCTCCGAGACTCTTCGTCGTAGGAGAAGTCGCAGTAGCATCAGTACTCGGAGTTGTAGAGGAGGAAAGAGTAGTTGTTATTGTTGACGACGTGATCCCTTCTTCAGAAGTGGTTAACGTAGTAGATATCGTAGTACTAGAAGAGGACAGTTCGTCGGCCCAGTCTTCCTCGGGACTCTCTGTTATAGTAGAGGTCGCGGCAAAGTCAGTCGTCGGAGTTGTAGAGGAGGATAGAGTAGTTGTCACCTTTGTGGACGTGATCGCTTCCTCAGTAGTGGTCGATGTAGTAGATGTCGTAGTACTTGAAGACGACAGTTCATCGACCCAGCCCTCCTCGAGACTCTCTGTCGTAGTAGCGGTCGCGTTAACATCAGTACTTGGCGTTGTAGAGGAAGACAAAGTAGTTGTCACTGTCGTGGACGTGATCGCTTCCTCAGTACTGGTCGATGTAGTAGATGTCGTAGTACTTGAAGAGGACAGTTCATCGATCCAGCCCTCTTCGAGACTCTCTGTCGTAGTAGAGGTCGCGGCGAAGTCGGTAGTCGGCGTTGTAGAGGAAGACGAAGTAGTTGTCACTGTTGTGGACATGGTCGCTTCTTCAGTGGTGGTCGATGCAGTAGTTGTCGTAGTACTAGAAGAGGGCGATTCACCGAGCAAATCTTCTCCGAGACTCTGCGTCGTAGTAGAAGTCGCGGTAACATCGGTAGTCGGCGTCGTAGAGGAGGACAAAGTAGCTGTCACTGTTGTGGACGTGGTAGCTTCTTCAATAGTGGTCGATGAAGTAGATGTCGCAGTACTAGAAGAAGACAATTCATCGAGCCCATCTTCCCCGAGACTATGCGTCGTAGTAGAAGTCGCGGTAACATCGGTAGTCGAAGTTGTAGAGGAGGACAAAGTAGTTGTCATTGTTGACGAGGTGATCGCTTCTCCAGTAGTGGTCGATGTAGTAGATGTCGTAGTACTTGAAGAGGACAATTCATTGACCTTGCCCTCCTCGAGACTCTCTGTCGTAGTAGAGGTCGCGGCAAAGTCAGTCGTCGGAGTTGTAGAGGAGGATAGAGTAGTTGTCACCCTTGAGGACGTGATCGCTTCCTCAGTAGTGGTCGATGTAGTAGATGTCGTAGTACTTGAAGAGGATAGTTCATCGACCCAGCCCTCTTCGAGACTCTCTGTCGTAGTAGAGGTCGCGGCGAAGTCGGTAGTCGGCGTTTTAGAGGAAGACAAAGTAGTTGTCACTGTTGTGGACGTGGTCGCTTCTTCAGTGGTGGTCGATGTAGTAGTTGTCGTAGTACTAGAAGAGGGCGATTCATTAAGCAAATCTTCTCCGAGGCTCTGCGTCGTAGGAGAAGTCGCAGTAGCATCAGTACTCGGAGTTGTAGAGGAGGAAAGAGTAGTTGTCATTGTTGACGACGTGATCGCTTCCTCAGTAGTGGTCGATGTGGTAACTGTAGTAGTTGTCATTGTTGAGGACGCGGTCGTTCTTTCAGTAGTGGTTGATGTCGTAGTACTAGAAGAGGACAGTTCATTGAGCCAGTCTTTCTCAAGGCTCTCCGTCGTAGTAGAAGTCGCGGCAAACTCGGTAGTCGGAGTTGGAGAGGAAGACAGAGAAGTTGTCACTGTTGAGGATGTGATCGCTTCTTCAGTAATGGTCGATGCAGTAGATGTCGTAGTACTAGAAGAGGACGGTTCATCGAGCCAATCTTCCCCGGGACTCTGCGTCGTAGTAGAAGTCGCGGTAACATCGGTAGTCGAGGTTTTAGAGGAGGACAGACTAGTTGTCATTGTTGAGGAGGTGATCGCTTCTCCGGTAGTAGTCGATGTAGTAGATGTCGTAGTACTTGGAGAGGACAATTCATCGACCCAGCCCTCCTCGAGACTCTCTGTCGTAGTAGAGGTCGCGGCAAAGTCAGTCGTCGGAGTTGTAGAGGAGGATAGAGTAGTTGTCACCTTTGAGGACGTGATCGCTTCCTCAGTAGTGGTCGATGCAGTAGATGTCGTAGCACTTGAAGAGGATAGTTCATCGACCCAGCCCTCCTCGAGACTCTCTGTCGTAGTAGAAGTCGTGGTGGCCTCGGTAGTTGAGAATGTCGAGGAAGGAGCCGACGGAATTGAAGTCGCCTTGACAGTGCCCAGTGCACGGGAGTGGCCAGCGTATATCATAGTGCTGGGACGATGCCACGATTCTCGCGCTTCACTAAGTGATTGTTGTGCAGCCGTCCACCACGACTTACCGCGAGCCGTTGCGGCTTCATACTCCACTTCGTCCCTCGAACCTGGGGACTCTCCAGCGGTCCACGAGCGCGACTCTCCCATATCTCGTACCGGTGTTGTGGCTGTCCAAGCTGCAGACGACCCTGACCTAAAGTGCGTCTCAGAATCATGACGCGAAACGTCTTTCCCATATTGTGATATTTCAGAGTTCCCCGCCCATCGTCCGAGCGCCATAGTTGCTACCCCTGCTGTTGTTTCAGCCCAGACGGAACTTAAACCAGAGGCTCCAACGGTGTTAATATCACTCCACTCCGCGTTCGATCCGGACGCAGGCAATGTCCTACGTTCACTCTGAAGTGCATCAGAGACTCCAGATAGCGCATCGGATTGATCCCTGTCCCAAACATCCGAAACACCACCAGAGGGATGGTCGCCTTGTGTCCACCAAAACTCATTTCTGGCTGCGAGAGTGGGATACGCTTCTCCTTCAGACTCTCCTGTATGCCAAGAGCGCGAGCCGCCTGTGTCTTGCACCGATGCCGCGGTCGTCCATATTGCGAAGTCTCCTGTGCTTGTATCCGCCTTGGAATTGTGAGAGGAAGAAGATTCCCCAGACTGAGGTACTCGAGAACTCCTCGACCACTGACCAAGCGCAGAGGCCGCTACTTCCGAGGCTGTTCCATCCCAGGCCGAGCCTGAACCGCTAGCCTCGCCGGTATCGCTTGTACTCCACTTGGTGTTCACTCCTGCTTCGTATGCCGCATCGTGCCCTTGCTTAAGTGTAATGGAACTCCCGGAAAAGGTATCTGTCTCATCTCGATGCCATACATCAGCCGCTCCTCCCACGGCCTGCTCTGCGGATCTCCACCACCACTCATTCCTCACGGCTACCGGGGCTTTCTCGTGATTATCGAGATTTCCAGTCCTCCAAACGTGCGTATGCCCTCCGTCTTGAACCGATGATGAAGTTGTCCAAGTTGCAGATGATCCCGATCTTGTCTCTTTTACGGAGCTGTGAAGTAGGAGAGATTCTCCAGATTGCGGTATTTCCGAACTTTTCTCCCATCGTCCGAGCCCTGCCGATGATATTCCCACTGCTGTTCCATCCCAGGCGGAACTCGAACCAGAATCTTCAAAAGTATTGCTAGCACTCCATTTTGTGTTCGATCCCGTTCCGGATAGTGTCTTGCCTCGACTCTGAAGTGCATCAGAGACTCCAGATATCTCATCCGATTGTTCTCTATCCCAGAGATCCGAAGCACCACCCGAGTCCAGGTTGTCTTGTGTCCACCAAAACTCATTTCTGGCTGCGATAGTGGGATCCGCTCCTCCCTTAGACTCTCCTGTATGCCAAGAGCGCGAGTCGCCTGTGTCTTGCACCGATGCTGCGGCCGTCCATGTTGCGAAGTTTCCTAAGCTTGTATCCGCCTTGGAATTGTGAAAGGAGGAAGATTCCCCAGACTGAGGTACTCGAGAACTCCTCGACCACTGACCAAGCGCAGAGGACGCTACTTCCGAGACTGTTCCATCCCAGGTCGAGCTTGAACCGCTAGCCCCGACGACGTCGCTTGTACTCCATTCTGTGTTCACTCCAGCTCGGTATGGTGCATCGTGCCCTTGCTGAAGTGCGACGGAGCTCCCGGAAAAGGTATCCGTCCCATCTCGATGCCATACATCAGCCGCTCCTCCCACGGCCTGCTCTGTGGATCTCCACCACCACTCATTCCTCGTGCTATCGGGGACTTTCTCGTGCTCACCGAACTCTCGAGTGGTCCAAACACGCGAATGCCCTTCGTCTTCGACCGAAGATGAAATTGTCCAGCTTGCAGATGACCCCGATCTCGTCTCCGCCAGAGAACTGTGAAGTAGAAGATATTCTCCCGATTGGGGTGTTTCTGAACTTTTCTCCCATTGTCCGAGCGCTGCAGACGAAATTCCCGCTGCTGCTCCATCCCAGACGGAACTCGAACCAGAACCGTCGATAGTACTGCTAGCACTCCATTTTGTGTTTGATCCCGCTTCGGATAGTGTCTTGTCTTGACTCTGGAGTGCATCAGAGACTCCAAATAACGCATCAGACTGATCTCTATCCCAAAGATCCGAGGTACCACCCGAGGGGTGGTCGCCTCGTTTCCACCAAGCCTCATTCTTGGCTGCGAGAGTGGGATCCTTTTCTCTTTTTGACTCTCCAGTATGCCAAGAGCGCGAGTCGCCTGTGTCTTGCACCGATGCCGCGGTCGTCCACATTGCGAAGGCTCCTGTGCTTGTATCCGCCTTGGAATTGTAAGAGGAAGAAGATTCCCCAGACTGAGGTACCCGAGAACTCCTCGACCACTGACCAAGCGCAGAGGACGCTATCTCTGAAGCTAATCCATCCCAGGTCGAGCTTGAACCGCTAACCTCGCCGGTATCGCTTGTACTCCACTTGGTGTTCACTCCTGCTTCGTATGCTGCATCGTGCCCTTGCTTAAGTGTAATGGAACTCCCGGAAAAGGTGTCCGTCTCATCTCGATGCCATACATCAGCCGCTCCTCCCACGGCCTGCTCTGCGGATCTCCACCACCACTCATTCCTCACGGCTGCCGGGGCTTCCTCGTGATTATCGAGATTTCCAGTCCTCCAAACGTTCGTATGCCCTCCGTCTTGAACCGATGATGAAGTTGTCCAAGGTGCAGATGATCCCGATCTTGTCTCTCCTACGGAGCTGTGAAGTAGGAGAGATTCGCCAGATTGGGGTATTTCAGAACTTTTCTCCCATTGTTCGAGTGCTGCAGAGGGTACTCCCGCTGCTGTTCCATCCCAGACGGAACTCAAACCAGAACCGCCAATAGCATTGTTAGCACTCCATTTTGTGTTCGATCCCGCTTCGGATAGTGTCTTGCCTAGACTCTGAAGTGTATCAGAGACTCCAGATAGCGTACCCGATTGATCTTTATCCCAGAGATTCGAAGCACCACCCGAGGCGTGGTTGTCTTCTTTCCACCAAATCTCATTCCTGGCTGCGGATGTGGGATCCGCTTCTCCCTCAAACTCTCCTGTATGCCAAGAGCGCGAATCGCCTGTGTCTTGTACCGATGCCGCGGTCGTCCATGTTACGAAGTTTCCTGAGCTCGTATCCGCCCTGGAATTGTGAGAGGAAGAAGATTCTCCAGACTGAGGTACCCGAGAACTCCTCGACCACTGACCGAGCGCAGAGGCCGCCACACCTGAAGCTGTTCCATCCCAGGTCGAGCTTGAACCGCTAGCCCCGACGATGTCGCTTGTACTCCATTCCGTGTTCACTCCTGCTTCGTATGGCGTATCGTGCCCTTGCTGAAGTGTAATAGAGCTTCCGGAAAAGGTATCCGTCCCATCTCGGCGCCATACATCAGCCGCTCCTCCCACGACCTGCTCTGTGGCTCTCCACCACCACTCATTCCTCACGGCTGCCGGGGCTTCCTCGTGATTATCGAGATCTTCAGTCCTCCAAATGTGCGTATGCCCTCCGTCTTGAACCGATGATGAAGTTGTCCAAGTTGCAGATGATCCCGATCTTGTCTCCCGTACGGAGCTGTGAAGTAGGACAGATTCTCCAGATTGGAGTATTTCCGAACTTTTGTCCCATTGTCCGAGCCCTGCCGACGATATTCCCGCTGCTGTTTCATCCCAGACGGAAGTCGACCCAGAATCTTCAACAGTATTGCTAGCACTCCATCTTGTGTTCGATCCCGCTTCGGATAGTGTCTTGCCTTGACTCTGAAGTGCATCAGAGGCTCCAGATAGCGTATCCGATTGATCTTTATCCCAGATATTCGAAGCACCACCCGAGGCGTGGTTGTCTTCTTTCCACCAAATCTCATTCCTGGCTGCGAGAGTGGGATCTGCTTCTCCCTCAAACTCTCCTGTATGCCAAGAGCGCGAATCGCCTGTGTCTTGCACCGATGCTGCGGCCGTCCAAGTTGCGAAGTTTCCTAAGCTTGTATCCGCCTTGGAATTGTAAAAGGAGGAAGATTCCCCAGACTGAGGTACTCGAGAACTCCTCGACCACTGACCAAGCGCAGAGGACGCTACTTCCGAGATTGTTCCATCCCAGGTCGAGCTTGAACCGCTAGCCCCGACGATGTCGCTTGTACTCCATTCTGTATTCACTCCAGCTTCGTATGGTGCATCGTACCCTTGCTGAAGTGCGACGGAGCTCCCGGAAAAGGTTTCCGTCCCATCTCGATGCCATACATCAGCCGCTCCTCCCACGGCCTGCTCTGCGGATCTCCACCACCACTCATTCCTCGTGCTATCGGGGACTTTCTCGTGCTCACCGAACTCTCGAGTGGTCCAAACACGCGAATGCCCTTCGTCTCGTACTGATGATGAAGTTGTCCAGCTTGCAGATGATCCCGATCTCGTCTCGCCAGAGAGCTATGAAGTAGGAGAGATTCTCCAGATTGGGGTATTTCAGAACTTTTCTCCCATTGTTCGAGTGCTGCAGAGGGTATTCCCGCTGCTGTTCCATCCCAGACGGAACTCAAACCAGAACCGCCAATAGCATTGCTAGCACTCCATTTTGTGTTCGATCCCGCTTCGGATAGTGTCTTGCCTTGACTCTGAAGTGTATCAGAGACTCCAGATAGCGTACCCGATTGATCTTTATCCCAGAGATCCGAAGCACCACCCGAAGCTTGGTCGCCTTCTTTCCACCAAATCTCATCCCTGGCTGAAAGCGTGGGATCCTTCTCTCCCTTTGACTCTCCAGTATGCCAAGAGCGCGAGTCGCCTGTGTCTTGCACCGATGCCGCGGTCGTCCATGTTACGAAGTTTCCTAAGCTTGTATCCGCCTTGGAATTGTGAAAGGAGGAAGATTCCCCAGACTGAGGTACTCGAGAACGCCTCGACCACTGAGCAAGCGCAGAGGCCGCCACTTCTGAAGCTGTTCCATCCCAGGTCGAGCTTGAACCGCTAGCCCCGACGATATCGCTTGTACTCCACTCCGTGTTCACTCCTGCTTCGTATAGTACATCATGCCCTTGCTGAAGTGTAATAGAGCTTCCGGAAAAGGTATCCGTCCCATGTCGGCGCCATACATCAGCCGTTCCTCCCACGGCCTGCTCCGTGGCTCTCCACCACAACTCATTCCTCACGGCTGCCGCGGCTTCCTCGTGATTATCGAGATTTCCAGTCCTCCAAACGTGCGTATGCCCTCCGTCTTGAACCGATGATGAAGTTGTCCAAGTTGCAGATGATCCCGATCTTGTCTCCCGTACGGAGCTGTGAAGTAGGAGAGATTCTCCAGATTGGGGTATTTCCGAGCTTTTCTTCCATTGTCCGAGCGCTGCCGATGATATTCCCGCTGCTGTTCCATCCCAGGCCGAACTCGAACCAGAATCTTCAACGGTATTGCTAGCACTCCATTCTGTGTTCGATCCCGTTCCGGATAGTGTCTTGCCTCGACTCTGAAGTGCATCAGAGACTCCAGATAGCTCATCCGATTGATCTCTATCCCAGAGATCCGAAGCACCACCCGAGGCCAGATGGCCTCGTGTCCACCAAAACTCATCCCTGGCTGCGAGAGTGGGATCCGCTCCTCCCTCAGACTCTCCAGTATGCCAAGAGCGCGAATCGCCTGTGGCCTGCAGCGATGCCGCGGTCGTCCATGTTACGAAGTCTCCTGTGCTTGTATCCGCCTTGGAATTGTGAAAGGAGGAAGATTCCCCAGACTGAGGTACTCGAGAACTCCTCGACCACTGACCAAGCGCAGAGGACGCTACTTCCGAGGCTGTTCCATCCCAGGCCGAGCTTGAACCAGTTAATTCTGAATTGTTTGCGATACTCCAGTTTGCGCTGCTCCCCACAGCAAGGGATCCATTCGTGCTCCGGTATAAAGATGAGTCACCAACATGAAAATCTCCTCGTTGCCATCGGTTCGAAATTCCCTCTACAGGTTGTGCAGAGTCCTTCCACCAGATTTCATTGGGTCCCTCAGGCCTTCGTGATTCTGCTCTAGTCCACCGATCGGTCTGACCTATATCCTCACCCATCGATCCACCTATCCACTCGTTCCAGGAGCCTCGGTCCACTGTTTTAGTTGTATATCCAGACGAAGCACTGGATCTACCCACTGTGGGAGCTCGGGAACTGGCTGTCCAATGTTCCCAGGCTGCGCGGGAAAGTGGCGTTGTTGCTGTCGTGTCCCATACACCTTTTGAACCAGATTTGTCCAACTCATTCTTTGCACTCCATTTCTTATTGATTCCTGTTGCAGTGATTGCATCACTGCTGACATTCTCATTCAGCTTGTCAGCGTGGCTATACCAAGCTAGAACGATACCAAATAGGAGCATGTCATACTGATGTAAAATAACTGCTCTGGTTAATGACGAGAGTATTGTTGCCGGATGCGAGACGTCACTTTTGATGGATGAATAGCGGTGTAGGTCCACACATTTACCTGTCGATATTTTTGCATACACTAGGGCTCCTCTTGTACATTAAAACTGTTACACTAGAATGAGTGCACGCGGGGCTTCTCTAATTACTCGACGTCAAACAGATGCTAAACCTCAGGGATCTCCTTGGCACCGAGAGGACCATGCAGGTAGCCACACTGGCAGTCTCGGCATGGAAATGAATCGCTCGAATATCTTTGTTCGTGTAGTGACGGCTGTTCGTTTAGTCTTTGGATAGAAACGAAGGGTCTGAGGAGTGTTTGGGAATTCCCAGGGCCTTTTAGCGAATAGGAAGCCCTCTTAGAAGATGTACTTCAGGAGGACTATCACTATGTTAGTCTTGTGTGGATTGGGGTTATTTTAATCGCTGAAAAATTGTAGTGACTGGTGTGGGATTCGAACCCGGCATAATTTCGTGGCGCGTGACGGTGACCATCAGTGTCGCACAGCCTCACCTGTCCGATAACTGTTGTTCTATCAGGCGCATCTGTTTGTTGTTATTGTATGAGTCCCGCGACGGACGGCACAATAAAGCCTCAGAAGGTTGACCTTACCGACGTTCCTTCTCTGCGGGCAGAGATCATATCGGGGGATCTTTCCAGAGTGAAGCCAGTGTTCTCACGGGATAGCAAGTACTAAGCCGCCAGCAGTAGCTCACATGGTGGAAGTCCTGCCTTGTAGGTATCTATATTGTGGCAGTGGAAAGGAGATACTCAAGTACAGCCTCAGTGCTGAGCGACTAGTAAAAGCATTGTGCGGCCACGAAGATGCCGTGACTGATCTTTGCCTCAACTCCGATGGTGATCTAGTCAGTAAGTCTAATCGGCACAAGGAGCCTCTCATAGGAATTCGCAATAGGTTGCAGCTTGGATGGTACTATAAGAATTTGGAAGGATGATGTCAGCTCGAAGGTCCATCAACTTACCAAGCCTATACGCTTCATGGACACTGACAAGACTGGAAATGTTTGGTAGTACACTACAGGGGTAAATTATATAATAGAATCTGAACTCCTTATCGTTCACCGCTGCTTTGGCGAGCTTATCATCGATCGCTTGTGTAGTCTGTGGAGGCAAACATGTGGTGTTGGTGCTTCAAGAATGCTGTTATTAATCGAGACTTGTCCAACAGGTTCGTAGTCTTACAGGATGAAGGGGCTACTGCCGCCTACCCCAAGGGCACTCTCTGTGAGTTTGATATATCCACAGGCAAAGTGTAGTATAGTGGGGGGCTGCGAGCTGTCGATGGCAATGAGATGATACTCTTCAGATATGCTCATGTTTATGCTGGTTGTATTCATGCGATGCAAGTGTCACCCTCTGGACGGTTCGCAGCCGCTATCGTAAGCAAAGTAGCACCCGGTGTTTACTCCTCTACAATGCATTCTAGGTTGGGGGTCATGCTGGACGGTTGTTGGTCAATTGCCGCAACGAAAAGGTTACGAGGGAATGGCGACAGCTTCAACGGGGATCTGCTAGACTTACTGTGAGGCTAAGGCGGCGAAGGCTGTTGATTTCTTGTCTATAGGCACTGGCCTTTCACCCCTCGGATGAGCATATCGCTACCGGTGATCAGAATGGTCGTATCAGGAGATGGTAGTAGTGGTAGAGGCTAGGATGATTTCTGAGAAGTGTGGTAGGTATGTCTTTTCGGGTGAGGATAACAGATCTCTCGCCGGGTCTGGGGAACGGGAGGCTGTGAAGAGCGAGCAACACTGGCACTGTACTCCTGTCAAGGGCTTGGCCTTTGCTGGCGCTAGCGATGTCCTTATATCGGTCGCTGGGGAAGCTGTAGGTTATAATGATGATGACATTTAGTTTACTCCTTCTCATCTCGCAGGTGCTGTGTCAATGGACATCGCCATCCCAAAGGCATCCAGGAGTGCTGCCGCGCATAGCCCGTAGTGGAGCCGCACAGATGGCAGTTGGTCCGGCGAAGCAGGGGCTAGTTGCTGTCATCGGCAAGGCCAACTCGGTGTCGATCGTAGATGTTAATAACAACCAACTGTAGTGGTCGGGAGGGACAGCGGTTCATGATTATGGTCATACAGGAAATGTACCCTATACGGCATGGCCACTACGGAGGCTGCTGCTACTGTGGAGGAAGGGTCGAGGAAGGCGGCCGGAGGGACTATGCTGTCTTCGAGTTCCGGCTGTCAGCTTACTGCTCTGGAAGACAACGCTGTTCTAGTTAGCTCACCAGCATTCACTGACGTACAGGTAGTGTAGTGGTCATGCTTCATTGGTGCATCGGAAGAGGTCGTGGGTTCTATCCCCAGGGGATGCATTATACCATGTAGTATTGCCTTGCTACGGTTAGATATTCGATGCAGCGGAGCTCCGTTTGGCCGACGAGATCGTCCCATTGGTTGCTCGTAACTTCGTCACTACTGCGTGGCAGACCGGCAGCAAAACAGGAGCGATTCCACCAGTTCCTTGGGTACCCTCGAAAGGCCCTCAGTATCCTCTTAGTACTGCGGTCAGGTGGTGTCTGCCAGTAGTGGTAGCAACGATGGTTCCTGGCTGGTCGGAGCGCTGCATCGTCCAAGTGCTATCGATGGTGAAGGCGACGAGACTCTGTTGAAGTTCTGGGATAGGAAGGGCAATAGGCTCCACACGGTAGTACAGCAGCTTTCGAGTAGAGCTGTTGGCATCGACTGCTGCTAGGTCTGTGTATCCCCACATAAGGATCGCATTACGGCCTTGTTGCCTATAACGCGGAAACTGCCGGAAACTGCTGCTGATGGGTCTGAGAGTGAACAGTTATTCGCCTCCTATTCGAGAGACGGTGAGTTGGTATATTCATGAGCCTGTGTTAAGTGGCATGTCAGGAACTGTATCTATATGGGGTCTGGTAGCCCCGGATGAGGCCAGTGAGAATAGCAATAGGAGGTGGCATCTGAGGGCCTCATTGGGCTGGAGGGGCCACACTGTCCCTCAGGCTATGACCTGTGATGAGGACGGCTCGGTAGGGGCGTCTGTGAGCGTTGTGAGTGGTGATGGACTGTGGCGTTGTTGTAGGTGTTGGTGGCGGCTTTTGGGAATTATGTTACTATATGGTCCCTCGATAGCTACACAGAACTCACTGCTGGTCGAATCGTAAGTGGCGTACCGCGTGATGGCCAACATGGACTTCATTTTCAGCACATGTCAATGCCTGTGAAGGGAGTGCATATGTATGGCACTCGACTGTACTGTCTGACGGCATCTAAGGGGGGTAGGGGAGGTGTATGTGTATTACCGTGCTTGACATTGAATCAGTTTCCCTCCTGACCTCGGTGGATCTACTCACACTGAAGACCGACAAGACCGTCACCTTTCATGGCAAGGCTTCCTCTCTGTCGGCCCAGATAGGCAAGGAGAAGATGTTCATCACGTGTCCTCGCAAGGTGAGCAGCATTAGCGGTGCGTAATCATTGTCAAGAGGTATCTCCGCTAGGTTCTCTGCTTCTCGGCACCAGCATTGAAACTGGTGTCGAGTGTGCCGTTGTCAGCATCTGCTGTCAGTTCATGTGTCCTCAGTACTGGTCTTGTTATAGTCTGGGATCAGTCTGGCAAGGTGGGCTTGGAAGGGTTCATCCCAGTGAGGGTCGTTGTAGGTGCTGAAACTAGACCCTGATTCCCCAGTGGAAGGAGTTAATGAGATTAACACGTCTATGCCTCCCGTGGAGGAGGCGGGTGTCGAGGAGGACAGCAAGATGATAGTAGAAGAGGAGGAGGAGGAAGAGCAAGAAGGGGTTGAAGATCTCATTGATGCTGTTGACCAGTGGAGTCTCGCTGACGATAAGATGCTCAAGAATGTGAATGTGGTAATAATTTTACGGCGCGCGGTCGGAGTTCATAGCAGTGTGTTCTGTTTCAGTTGAGTGCACTGAACAGTCTTGTCGAGCCAACTGCACCTTCCCACGTTTGTCCGATGCCGTCGAAGCTCCTCCCGGATCTCTTGGACCGTATATTTGACGTGTCTCGATCGACAGCGGCAGATGGCGCCTATCGGAGGAACTTCACGTCGTCGTAATGGGTGGTTATTAGGAAGCTTCCCTAACTCAACGTACATAACAAAAACAGGCGGATACTGCTGCCTTTGGACATATCGTTATTAGATTTCGTCCACTACAGTTTACCACGTACTTCCAGTTTCCTCTCCAAATGCTGGGCTGTTGCGTTGTTAAATCCGGAAAGAGTTACCACTGGTTTTAGTGGGCAGATGCGAATGATGAGTATTGAGAGAAGCACTGGATGGTGATGGAGGTGTCGGGAGTAAAGGCCTTCGGGACGTACTTGAAGGGTCACTTTGATAGCCTTAGAGGAGGGCTTGTGGCCATGGACTCGACCGGAACGGGGTAATGGTATTTAGAGAGTAGCACGGGAGACTGCTGTCACTATCAGTACGATATCCTGTATAGAGTTCATCGACTACTGCTGTCATGAACTACACCACTTTAGTAGTCATGCTGAGGCCACGGCTATGTTCCTGACGCTGGTTGGGCGACAGAGAGGAAGAAGCCGACGCTCGGGAGTGCTTTGTGAGGCTGAATCGTATGGTGTTGTACATGCTTTGTTGGAAGATACAGACTGTGCTGATATGGACGAGCTGTTTGCTCACAACAGTGGACGACAGGAGAGCTCGGCTGAGGGGAGTCAGGGAAGGCAAGCTTAAGAGGTCACTATGCTGGGGGATTATAGGTGTCAGGTATGCTCACGGGTGTAGAGGTGACAAATGTGGTGACAGGGCGGATGATGCAGAGGGTGGATTCAAGCCGTGGGTAGCTTGCAGCAGAGAGGTATAATCGCCGGTGTATAATTGGGTATAAACGTTGGGTTGAGGTACTTGAGGGATCCCGGGTCGCAGTCGAGAAACATTCAACTTTGGTGTCTGGGCAGTCGCAGTGGGATATAAATAGTGGTGTATTGAGAGGGTCCGGAGTGGAGAGGGAATCAAGGCAGCAGTCTCTCGGTGAGGGTATTGATCAACAGTTCCTGACACGTGCTCGGCGCATGAGGAAGTAGTAATATTGCTGTAGCCGATATAAGCAACGAGATCTGCAGAGATCATGAAGGCCCTCCAGCTCTGCCGAGTCAGCACGGAGCTCTCTCTAGTACTACTGTGTTGGTGGATGCCACCGTAGTCACGGCTGTTGCTATCCTGTAGTCGGTCCAACAGCTGGTCCCGCAAACGTATGGTGGGAGGATGTCCGAGATCCTGTACTCTGGGACTTCTTGAAGTACCCTCGTGTATTAGAATGCTAGTACTACATCGTTTACTTCAGTCACTGTAGAGCTGCTACCGATCGCCTTAGAGAGCTTGGTCGTTACCGACCTCAGTGACCATGATATTGACCATGTTATCGGTGTTGGTCGCTACTGTAACAGTTGTGTTTGAAGAGTTTGCGGTTGGTACTCCAATTGCAGTGTTCGCAGGAAGGCTATGCTGCGACATGCATCCTTGAGACTCTCGCGGATGCATGTCGCAGCGGTCAATAAGGAGGGGTCGTTCAATAAACCGATGATTTCGAAACTCGGAACACGCATAATACGATGCTAGAGTCGATCCTGAATTCCAGAATTGTTTTAATGGTAATGGGGAGAATTGCAGTCCTATATCAATTCTTCGATCCATTTTTTCATCAGCGATCACCCACTGTCTGTCGCCGGGTACGATGTAACATTACTCGACGCGAAAGTAACAGGCGTACTTAACCCAAGGTGCAAGAGACTCAATTCGTAGAAGCCATCTCATAAGGTGTCACAATCGTCTGTTCAACCGCTTGGATCGCTCCGAAGATAGTGTCCTGATCGATACCGTACGTATTGAAGTGATGCATGAAGGCTCTGCCAAGAGAGACAGTACTGCAGTCGATTGCGAGTAGTCGCCGCGGCACTTACCCATGCCGAGTCTTCTCGGTAGCATTTTCTAGGAGCTCGTTGACCATCCTCGCGGTATACGTCCAATTCACAGCCAAACTTATCCCGTGATTGTCTGTCTTTGAGCGGGAGAGGCGCCGTCTAAGTGGAGCAAATCACAAATAATCCACCCGTCAAGTGCATAATGAGCTGGCTTAGGGGCGTTCACTAGTTAGAAGTTCCTTACCGCAGAGACGTACTCACCTCAAGTCGACGTTATAGGGCCCATTCCAAGACACCCTTCCTCCCAAGCATGAAATGATCTTCTCAGTTACAGTCGATTCTGCAGCTGAACTCACCACAGCTCTTGCTGCTATGAGTGAATTTGGCAGACGCGCTGCCGGGAGGTGCATGCGCAGGCTCTCTAGATTCTTCGAAGAGTAGACATGTGCGAACTTGAGGGTTGGCATTGGGCAAACGACTCATTGGAAATCGTCGAGACCAAGACCACTCCTGCTCTGCAGCGTGTCCAAGATCGCCGCAGCAATTCTGCTGTTGAGTTCCTCCACAGAGGAAGCCTTGAAGCTGCTGTTCTCGACGAAGATTCCGAAGTCACAAACCTCTTCTATCCGTTGCAAAGCGAGAACTTCGTTGATGGACTGAAAGCAAGCCATGATAGATTGACCTTCGAATTGGTCCCATCTCGAACCCGCATAGGACTCCCTCCAAGGGGATCAGCTACAATAGAGAGGGCAGTGAGTAGGCCATGGCTTCCTAGCTGTTCTCGGGCCATCTCCATCACTCTACTGCCAAGGCCGCCTCCCGTTCCTCCTGCTAGCGAATGTACGATAACAACATCCAAGCTACGATCGTTGTACCTGCGAATGTATGACACCTTAGCTGTCAATTATGCTCTTCACTCGATCTCGCGTCGCAAAGTGTCCTCAATCTGCTCCAGGAACTCCGGGTCGTTATCGACGTATCCTGAAGAGCGGTTTATGATCAGCCTCATGTCGCTGTTAATGATTGTCAGTAGATTGAGTAACATTCAAAACATCATTGAAGTGACGTGAATTCCTCGCCATGTTACCCATAGCCCAGCTCCCTCCTCTCCCCCTTGCTGTAGTGTCTGCGATACAGAGTTGATCTCTGAAGAATAGTCCTTGTCTAGATCTGGCTTCGCACCGCATTGTTCTCATCGGTTTTGGCTCCGTATCGACGAGGATTGCCCCTACACTGGCAATTCAATAGAGGTCCGAGTCAGAAAACGTACTGGGTGTTGGGGGCTCCTCGTCATAGTACAGCATGCCATGTAGTGGAGCGAGCTTACTCCACATCGCCCCACCAACTTGTATCCCGCATTGACCAACATGGACGATGAGGGAATCGTCGATGCTCGGCATAGTACAGCCTATTCCACGGAGGCGAAGCGACGCACCGCCGTTATTGACAACAACAACAATTCAGAAGACGGAGGTCAGTAATCAAGAGATGAAATAAAAGCGATCTTCTCCACCGAGACGTGGTAGCCACGTGCTCGAGAGCCTACACCACCCCTAGGCCAGGAGAAGGGTTCAAGTTTAACTGTCACTATTTCATCACATGACTATGTTCTGCTTGCGCAGTAAGACTCTCGTTTCGTACTCGATTCTCGGGCTCTGGAAAATACACACATCGTATCGCACCACATAAGGTACGGTTCGCCCATTTCGAAATGATTCCCATCAACCTCCAGTAGCGTCGCATTCACAGCAAGCGTTCATGGCCCACTTGTATGCAAGGAAAAGTTACCATGATCGGTGTATCAGGAATGCATCAATGCTGCAGTGACAACGTGATCGATCACCTTAATTCCGAACACGACTCTCAATTCAATAGGATACGTAGTTTAAGCTTGAGAGAGCAGAAGTCAGTTAACGTATGGGAACCGTTGTCGAGGGTTGTCTAAGTCACATAGGTCTTCCCGAAGAATCCTGACGAGGAATGACTATACGACAGCACATCCCAACAAGTTCGGCCGGGCAACTGGGCCAAGGGCTGGTCGTGTTAGACACCATCGTTATGGGACGATGTTGGTTTTTGTAAAGAATTATGATATGAGACCCGCAACTAGTGGAACACAACAGAATAACAGTAGAAGCAGAAAGAATCCGAATCAGTTTAGACAAGGTGGATCTGCACTTGGATATAGGAACGAGTTTATTGTCGTAAGGACAGCTATAAAAGGATCTCGACAGCCAACCGAGCCGCCAACCTGAGCACAATGCCAATGAGATCAATCCTATGCAGCCTTCTAGGCTTCATTCGATATCGATAGACTCATTGGCACTGTCTTGGTGTGATGGTAAGAATAAAGTGGTACAGCGATTAACTGATAGCTGCAAAATGAGCCAGAGAGGGACAGTACATCGGGGGGACGAGAGCACCCGTTAAGGAACAACGACGCCTCCGGTACATCCGAGAACGGAATTATCACTGTAAATAGAGAATCACACATCACCACCAAAAACACTCAATGACTACTGAAACCGACGGTCTTACCAGCACGGCACGACCTCTCCATGCATACAAACAGAGAAAGTGGCATATCATCGAGTGTCAGCAACAGGAGACAACTGAGCATCGCTCGGCAACTAGAATAGTAATGACCGTAGAAACTATCGAGACCCTTCGTTTACTTGGTATTATATAGTAGTTAAGGACACTATTGTTATCATCTTCCTCCACCTCTCCAGAGGCAAGAACAGCGACAAATAGTATTATGGGTAGTACAGAGAGGATACGACTAAAGACTGAACGTAGTAAGATTACTGAAGAACAACACTCAAGCACTCCGAGACCAGAGTGAATGAACTTAACAGAGACCCGAACAACCGGCGGGTCTCATATAGATTCCCTTAGACCTCGCACACGCTTATATAGCTACTGTAAGGCACTGTTGGTAAAGATGACAATGAAGTTGCGAACTTGGCAGCCAACAGCCAGAGTGTTTAAGTGTAGTTGAACCGACTCTTTGCAAAAAGCTTAAAACACTTGGTACAAAGAGACCGGTACACTGACATGATAGTGACCGCACCATAAGTAGTACAATCAAGCCTTGGAGAGGTAAGAGGAGGAGGATGATGAGGAGGAGGCTAGTGAGCAGCACTCATACAATAAGGGAGAACAACAAAGGTACAGAAAGTAACAACAGGAACGAAGGAATATGAGAGCGATTCGACGCCTCCCTTGCACTACTGCTACAACTGTAACCTCAGTACCTTCATATAATAGTGGCTTTCAGTCATCAAAGTTGGCCGTCCGAGGTCACGCCACACGCGACGACGCTGGCACTATGACATCAACCAGTAGCAGAGACTAAAATCGGGTACTTCTCAACAATAGTCTTTATGCGATTATACCGCATATCAATACATATAGGGTTAGTGACGATAACGAACAGGAGCATACACAAGTGTATACCACAGTAAACCGACGCTGCACTAGCACTGGTTACTGATGGGTAAACGACAGCATGCCTGCTCGAGACAATGAGAAATGATGAAATACAACAATAATGATGATGATACCACAACTCTAGCAGAATGATCATACGAATACTCGATCGGGCTAGCAGCACCTAATGATGAGAGCCGCATAGCACTGAAGATCATTCTACGGTTTCTGTAGCAGAGTAATGGATGCTACATAATGAGGATTCACAGTGAGACACCTACATCGTCTCCTGATTAGTAGCACTTCCCAACAAGCTATCACTAGCCTTCTGCGAAGTACCATATACAGCAGTAGAGAGGTAGTAGGAAGCACTCTCAGAACCAGCGAGAGGGAAGTCAGGCCAATTGCCAGGAAGAAGGGATGCATCAGTAGTATTGGAACCGTAAGGGGTGTAGCTATTCGGCATAGTCCCTGAGTGGGACTCAGAGAACGCTGACTGCTGGTCGTTAACTGCAAGTAGAGTCTGAGGGAAAATGACGATACGTGTAATGTCACTCGAGTTCGCCTACCTCCAGCGCCTTCAGCAAACTAGGGTCGGTTAAGTCAGGCTGTTGGTTGTTGACCTGGCCGTTACCACCGTCGAGCGTAACAGTAGGGGAAGCCTGCTGTTGACCCTGGACTGATCGAGTCTCTGAGTACGGCGACGAGGCCATGGACAGTAGGGAAGACGTCGGGGACATTGTGGATGCCACATTGTTAAGCAGTATGTCACTCGAGGTACTCAATAGAGGGCTCGAATGACTCGTCGGGGCGTGAGCAGGAAGGCTATTGGGAACAGACTGCATCAGCGATGGGACCGACCACGAAGGAATAGCCATAGAATCAGCAGCAGGAAGAGAGGACGACACCGGACTGGCAAGACGGTTACTATTGTTGTTACGTTGGAGGCTTGCCGCCGGTACACCATTCATCTGAGGAGCACAAAATCGATGAGAAATATAACTATCTTATCTCTCACCTGCTGTTGTTGTTGTGTGTGCTGATTCTGACCAAGCCGACCTTGACGTGAGAGTTCAAGGGCTCCTGCCAGAATTGACTCTTGAGCCTGGGTCTTGTTATGAGAGAGCTTGCAGTTAGGATCATTGCAGCTCCCATCGAGAGCACCCAAACACACTTGTGGGCTGCTGTTGCCAAAAGGTGACCTCAGCTCCTCAGGCGAATGAGCATACTGGCAATTGGCGTCCTTGCAGTTACGACGAGCACACATCTTAGTCTTGTAGAAGTCTGGACGAGCACCGAGTTCGCTCAGCTGATGGGCAAACGTACAGCGACTTCCATACCTGAACGAGAGTAACACCATGAACACTCAGTGACTTGGTCTACGATAACTACCTGCAACTTCCACGCATATAATGGCGACAAACTTTAGTCTTGTAAAGTTGCACCTTCATATTGTTAATTTCACCACCGCTGTTGTTACTGCTACTAGGGGAACCCACAGTAGATGGGAGACGTTCATCACCGTTATTTTGGGGCTTCCTCGCTACCGGACTCCTGCTCTTACCGTTGGCACCACGCCTAGGCCTTGGGGAAGAAGCAGAACTGTGGGCAGATCGAGTACTACTACTGCCAGTAGGGGACGTGGAGGACGTAGACTCACGAGACGTGATGTTGATAGACTTATTAGAAGTTGGCGAAGTCATACTTGTTGGTAATTAGGAATTGTCGATTTTAGAGGAATGACAGTATTTTGTCAGAAGAATAGAGAGAATGTTGCAAAGCAAAGATTATTAGCAACTGAGAGGGAAGCCATAGGGAACATCTACGACCAGGAAGACCAATGTGAGGATACTCTAAGCATCAGCTACGGGACACAAGATTGAACACAAGAGCGGACACACAAACGGATTGGAGATGCCAACTGATGAAACTATCTACTGGAGCACTAGAACACACTTCAATGCACGGTGTATGAGTAGAGTAGCTCTTTGGTGGACATGTGCATCTCAATCACACAAAAGAAGCTTAGAAAGCAATCCCACACGGGGAATGGGTGTCCCTTTCCGTCAACCCTCCTTCCTTTTGGCCGAGTGGTATGACGCGCGGTTAGTGTCCCGCCGACCCAGGTTCAACACCCAGTCGAACCACCTCGAAATGAATCGCCCTGTTGCCGACTTCCGTTGCCTCGTCATGTGTTGCCCCGACATTCTTCCCGTTCCTTTAGTTTATAATTTAGATATCTCCACAAGTGGTGGTGGTATATGGCGTTTTCTCTTATGCATCTGATAGAATCCGGTCTGTTGGTGACCGACGCCGGGGCCATCCTCAGCGAACGGAGAGTTCTCCACAAATGTGATATTGGGAATCGTCTACACGACAATACACAAGGGAAATCGAGAACCACTATGGTGATGATGGAATAATCGATACAAGGTGGCCTGAATAAGAATGAATTGTTACGATCTCCTTAATACCCGACTTCACACGGCTGCTTGTAATGTCATTTCTGAACAATTGGGAACAGTACTATCAAGCAGAACAGTATTCGACTGTGAATGGAATTTTAGGGATTTCTGAGTGACAACTGTCATGTCGTTTGAGTGCATTCTAGCCCTCTTGGCTGCCCAATAGATAATCTCGACAAGCCAGGCTTCGACAGTGGTGTCAAGGGACAGCTGTCGACCCTCCTATATAGTGTGCGGACTTTCGGCAGATGTAATGAAGGGATTGCTGCGCTGCTAGGTCGTTCTACATGTGATCCTCTTCAGACCCGATTGTGATAATGAACCTCCTCGTTATCTTGTATGAGCTCATTTTTGGTTAGAGAAGGGCGATACTGTACAATTTGGATTGTTTCAACAATCCTAGGTGTGTAGTTACTCAAAATGAGGGGGAGCGAGCAGGGAGATGTGATTGAAGTCCTATCATAGGACATTCATATTCATTGGTAGCAACAGATTGTTAGTGATGCCTCCCTTACGAGGAGTCCTACATCGATCGGGTAGACAGACGCAAGTAGGCATTGATCACGACTGCCTATTCTCACGCTACCCCACAGGGCCCGCTGACTACCCGAGTTGCTACACCTCAGCTCGGGTCAACCACCCACAATACGTGCTGCAGTTGGCGGAACAGTGAGCCTTCGTCGAGAGGTAGGATGCATGATCAGTTATACTCATAATGCCACTTCAATTATCGCCACTCGAGCAGGTCATAGGAGTAGAGTCTGAATCAGTTAGAACAGGGCGGCAACAAAATGGTGGATTCGAACGACCGAAGCACATTGATGGGGTCGGACGAAGTCCAAAAGACGGAGTGCAAAAGCGGTAGAACTAGCATGCAGCCTTGTCGATGAAACATTTCTCCCCTCTTGAGAATCCGATATATATTGGGGCTGAACGACACTTGCATTGCACTCCACTATATTGCACTCCGCTAATCATGAAGTAATCATGGAGGTCACGTAGTGCCTTAAAGGTCACGTATCATGATGATGTTATCGGAGATGAAATTGGTACAAATTTAATATCAGGGGGACTAGCTCAAATGGTAGAGCGCTCGCTTAGCAAGCGAGAGGCACCGGGATCGATGCCCGGGTTCTCCACTTTTTGCACGCATTGTGTTGCTTACCACCTCTACGCAAGATATTCGAAATCAGACTCATTGCATCAATATCACATTGACTCGACTAAATCCAACGCGACTTCAGACGTGATGAAAAAGTGTTTTATGATTATTTTCCCATCCACTGCCCAGTAGTTAATGAAGGGGTCTTTATCGGCCGTACTTCTGGAACTCCCATTCACCATTATCTAACAACAGGATAATGCTCACGAGGGTTGGAGTCCAACAGATTGACTTCTCACCCAAAGGGCAAACCTGCCTAGTCTTCAGCCACCTGGAAATGCAGTGGAAATGGAAAGCGTGGTTACAGACACCCCACGCAACCGTGCAGTCCTAAAGACGAGCAACATATCGAAGTTCCGTAGTCGGCGCGTAGACAACTCACCTCACTACTGTGAGAGCCCTGATTCGCCTGACACTCGATACACAAATCCATGATGTGATTACGACATATCGCACAATTGTCAACAACGATATCCCATGCCCACAGGGACACAGCATTCCATCTGAGGGTTACAAATACCGAGAGCAAAGGCATGGCAAGGGAAACTTACTTCTTAATTTCAAATCTCTTCTCTTCCGAAGACCCGCTCGAACCTGCAGTGGCTACGGCACTCGATTCAGCCATTATCGAATCCACAAGAGTGAACACTGCAACAAACCTGGGATTCCCACACGTAGAACGCAACGATAGGTCAAAACCATGAGAAAGCGTTCATGTACACGACTCCATAGGCCTCAGTGAGAGGGGACCAACCTTTCGATTATTTTCTGGTGCTCATCTGATTTCATTGCCTGCTAGTTGATGAGTCATCAACTTGATGACGTTCTCCCTGCTACCCGAATAGTTTCTTCTCGTGGTTAACGAAACAGTCTGTAATGTTACTCTACCGTTTCATTGCCGGGAGTACAGAAGCATCCTCGTCATGAGCACTCCCCCAGAGGCATCCTAGTGTCGCTGAGAAGGGTCTCCAGGCGGAACTGCCTGGGCCAGCCGTACTGGATCTTGTACCTCCTCAAAGAGACCGGAGTGAATGAGCACCTTGGCGGCAGTCATGGCTCCCCACAGGCCTGCCCAATGACCAAGTGACGGAGAGGGAAGCCTTGTTGTGAAGGATCTCGAGGACAAGCTCAACTACACCTTTTAAACATCTAGTTCGTCTTTGGAACCATCAATTTCGTCGGGACGCGCGAAGTTGGAGGTACGAATCCGAAACGGGAAGATCATATTCGCAATTAGAACTTTCAACTTCGTCATAGAACTTTCAAGTTCGTCCGAAGTCGATAGGAAGTCAAGTTCGTTCTAATAGAACTTTC